GGGGGGGGGTTGTATGTGTTTATGGCTCTAGACCCCGAATTTACAGTAATAGTATATTCTTTACCAGTATTATAAGCATGATTCTTCAAGATTCCATATTCCTGTATTACTCGGTGGGTTTGTGTGAGTGCTGTAACCCAGGCCAACTCAGAATTTATTCGTCATTGGTACATCCGGGTATTCAATTTTTTTTGATTGACAGTTGCCATGGCAACAAGCTAGAGCATCGCCATTTTGTCAGGAGGCTTTTTTTTCCCCCCCAGCTCAGTCTTTTTCAAATCTTCTCCCTTCCCGCCGGAATAATGCTGTCAGTGGATTTATGTTTCGGGTTTTCGGATATCGAAACACGTCTACTGAAATGGATTAAGAAGATCGAGAGGCCGACGTTTTAACAGAGTTGGAAATAATTAGGCGGCGCCGCTCTAACTCAGTTGTCCGTGTCTCTGGTCCACCGGGCCGGTTCACTGCGCAGGTTTGGACCGCGCGCCATTTTGTGAAAATTGACACAAAATTCCTGACCAAAAATTATAAGAGGACGAGGCTTCTGTTTAGCGCTAATGATGTTCTGGATATAACCGCGTTGTCACGCTCGTCGAAGACACCAGCACATTCACTGCAAAGGCTAAGTTAAATCAGAATTTGGCGAAACGTTTATTTAGCGGCAGCTAGAGTCGTTAGCTTCAGGCTAGTCGGTGCAAGTGGCTAACGTTAGCTGCGTTCATTTTGTCAGCTAGCGCTAGTTAGCATGTTGCTTGTCATCAGCTGATAAAAACATTTGATAAATTTGCATCGATTGTGGATATTGGTGTTCAAAGCTTTGGACATGGAGCGCTTGCTGGAAATGACTGACGAGTTCTTTTAAGATCTTTTTGTCGGCCAGAGGACAGGGGATTGGATTTACTTGCTAACCCGTACAGGGAGGGGAGAATCTCGAGCTGGATAAGTTTCCTCATCATACAGTTTATTGGACTTTAAATGAAGATCGTGCCATCAGAGGTGAGTAATTCTATGCTATTCACTGCATATTGTGCCTTTATTAGTTCTCTATTTTTTTATGTATATCCTCTATGAATGGTTAACGATGATGGACGCGGTAGTGAAGTTAAAAATGGTAGCTTTTTGGTGTGGCGGCTAGCTAACTATTCACGTATTGAGTTCTGCTTAACGTTTGTTTTCAGTCAGTAGGTCAAGGAATGGATTTTAATTTTGGAAGGGGGGGGGGCATTCCAGCTGACTGTGAATCATATGTCTGAGTTTGGATTGAGTGTCATGCTGGCACAGTTATTGCTAGCCCTGCTATATCAGACTGTCACTGTATGATTGAAGCTCTGTAGGCTTACCTCCCCCATTTTACGTGTTGTCATTAATAAACTGCGTTAACATCAGGGTGCATTTCGGATTTAACTGTTCTAATTGAGCTAACCTGGCTAATGGTCAGCGTTGACTTGTTGCCGAGCCAGCTGAATGGGCCCCACAGCCCCGCTGGCTGAACACAGCGTCACCAGCTAGCGTTGGGTTAGTGATGAGATATGCTCGTCTGTCCCGCAGTTTTCAGGGTAACGACGACAACGTTAGCTAGTTAGTCAGCTGGCTAACGGTAACGTGAGCTCGAATCCGTTTGTCATCTATTTGAAGATTTCGATTCTCCCACGAACGATAACTAGAGACAGGGGTGGAAAATTAACACTGAATATGCGTCCTAAATTCTAACCATGACGAGATCTATCCAGTCGTCTGTAAGTATAGAGCCATTCGGTATTCGTCTATTTACATTGGGCTTTTTTCTTATTGTTTGGTTAAGTTACATTTGATTCAGCTTTGAAATCGATCTATCGGTTGGGCGTGAGAAGATGACACACAGGCGTGTTACTGAAATATCTACCCATCTCTTTATACCATATTTTAGCTTTAAAATTTTAAGCTAACCATCGTTATATTTAAACATAAATGGGCCCTTAGATGCCATAATGACTAGAGCCAGGGTAGGAACTGTTCATATTTTAGTACTGAACATTGAGGATGAGCAGGCATTTAGAAGAAACTATAAAGCTACAAGTGTGTTTTTCAAAATGTATCTATTTTTTTAAATTATAGTTTGATTTTCTCCAGCTGGACTTTTAGATAGATGTTTACATTAAATTAAAACCATCTATCTATTTTATCTCAGTAAAAGCTGGTTTGTTTAAAACAAAACTGTAAATCACAGTTTTTTTTTTTTGTTGTTTTGTTTTTTTTTTAGCTCTCACTAATTTTGCAATTGCCCGTATTACAACCCCATTGTATATATAGCTGCTCCACCTGGGTTATGGCTAACAACTGTCTATTTTAAAAGACTATTTCGTGTCATAAATAGAAGATTTTAAATAGCATATGGACTGAGAGGAGAGCAAATCCCCTTTAAGGCCCACAGCAGTAATAATTCTTATTTCACTGTTCAGGACTTTGGACAGTGAAATAAGCAAATTTGTTTTTAACAGTATTACACAGGCTTCATGTCTAGTTGTCTGGGTTTTTTTTTCCAAGTCTGTTTTACATTCAATATTTTGTGTGAACCACAAGAAGTTCACTTTAAGTAAGATTTTTGCTTCTTAAAAAAGCTATACACTTTGACTGAATTCTGGCATCCCAACATACTTCTAAAAGTTTCTGGGATTTCCTTTTCTTTCGATACTTTGTCTCTGTTTGTCAACCAAAATTTAACTTGAGTACAATTAGATGATATATGATAACAAATTTATTATTGTGTTTTTATTCTTTATAGTGGTTTGTGGTTTGCTGCTGGACTCTTCTCCCAGGATGATATGAAATTTTACAGAAGATGCATCCAGGTTAGCTGATTATATGTCAAGCCGTAGCCCATTGGTGGGGGTATAGTTTACTTTTCATCTCTTCCTTTCCCCCATATATTGCTGCTTTAAGTTTGGAATCGGGTCTAACTCTGTTTAATCGAAAAGTTTCTCTTATATAAGAGGATGTTTTTGTTTTGTATTTTCTGTTTTCCAAATAGCACCACGATTGAATGTTAACTCCTCTTAGGATATCAGTGTTTATATTTTCTTAAACTGCTTAAATTGAAGTTATTTTTAAAATAAAGATATTTATTTCTGATTTGGATCCATATATCTTAACTATGAAATTTAGTTAGTTCTTAGATACGTCTCTGTTCTGTGGACCATCATCTCACAGTTCCTCTTCTTTCTGTCAGTCGAGATATATATATATATATTTTTTTTTTTTTCTTCTTTGGATTTCAAAAGCTGGGTCAGCTTTCTAACACTCTTAGATGGAGTGCATGTTTTGGGCTGTGCAGCTATTTTGCTGTCAGGCTCTTGTGTTGAAAGCAACGTCTAAGTGTGCCAAAGTTCAATTTTATTTCTTGTTTATTTCTTGTTTTCTCATTGGAAAATGGGAGCAGCTCTGCCCTGGCAACAAAAGTAGGCTATTTGCATACTGCGTTGTGATTGGTCTGTGCATTGATGGGCTTGCCAAATCACGCTGTATCTCTGTGGTGATAGGCTATGCTAATTAGGTGCTGTTGCTGGGATTCTGAATAGTGGTTACTGTGTAGCATTGGTGAACTGTGTTGTCTGGTGAGAGATGCTGATAGCTGAACATGCTATTTAACAATTTTTTGATTCCTTCTGGCTTAAAATGAAGAATGATTCACTGTACAGTGTGGAGATGCTGTATTTTCACCCCTTCTCCCTGCTAAACCTGCTATTTTTCTCCCTTTTCCTCAGAAAGGTTGATTTATTGCTGTTGTCTTTTTGTTTCTCATCCTCAAATGTTATTTTCATATTATATTATAGTGATCATATTTAATAAACCATGCTGTCTCTTAAAATGACATTTATTTTGACAACATATTTTTGCTATACTTAACATAATTTAGTTTGTTTGTTTTTTTTATACTGGACTATATTTATTTACCAATGCTTTTGTGCTTTTATTTAACCATTCTTTATATACAATGATAAATTTATCAATTCCATGTTTATAAAGAAATTGCATGTTTTAGTCTCGGCTACATTAAGTAAGATAACATTTTGTTTATGTTTTGTTAATACAGTAAAATACAATCTTTAACTTTTTAATGTATGTACTAAATATCTGATGTAATTAAATGTCCATTTGATTCATATCTAGATAATTCTCCTGTCCTTTCCTGTGGATTAGTAAATAATGTTAAAAGTGTCTATGCAACTTCTGTTAATTTATCTCAGGAGGAGAGACTTAAGCATGCAAACCTTCGTCCGTCCGGCTTGCGCCCTCTTTTTCTTTACACACTGCTGGTCTTCAGATGGCTGCTCCAATGCCCCATACGCACCAGCAGTACAGTGACCGCCACCAGCCAAGCACTGACCAATCTGTTACGGTCTTACCGTACAGCGACCAGACACCACAGCTCACTGCCAATCAGGTATCCTAACCCCATCCTGCTGCACTCCTTGGATTTAAATCACTTAAAAGGATCGTCATACTTACTGTAACATGCAACACTGCTTCCCCTTTCTCCTCTGTCACTAGGCAAAAGTAGCTGCTTATTAAATATTTCCTTCAATTATGTCATGTTATGCTTAATATTTATTTTTGTTTTTTACTCAATCATATGTAAATTAAGTTTTTACCTGTAGAATTGTGTTGCTCCTTGTGGTAATGAGGTTTTATTTTTACTTTTTTCACTCCAGAGGCACATGCCCCAGTGCTTTCGTGACCCAACTTCAGCTCCCCTGAGGAAGCTCTCCATTGACCTTATCAAAACATACAAACACATCAATGAGGTTAGTATGCAACTTTTAATTTTAATTTATCCATTCTTTAAGTTTTCCTTATTAAATATATAAAATATAAGCTGAAATGAAATATATCTCAGCTTATTTTCAGTGAAAATCTAAGCAGAGACAGTTTCTAAACCTTATTTGCTAGCCCTCAGTGCATAAACAGACTGGTTGATTAAAAAAAACAAACTTTCTGACTAAACTGTATTGTAAATAAATATTAAATGTTAAATAAAATCTTGGGTTGACGGTTATGTCATATTTTCTCTTTTACTAAACCGTTGCATGGTTATATATATATTTTTTTTTTGTGGATTCACAGGTGTATTATGCAAAAAAGAAGCGGCGACACCAACAGGGTCAGGGCGAGGACTCCAGTCACAAAAAGGAGAGGAAAGTATTTAACGATGGCTATGACGATGATAACTATGACTACATCGTCAAGAATGGGGAGAAGTGGATGGACCGTTATGAGATTGATTCCTTGATAGGAAAAGGATCATTCGGACAGGTTTGTTTACATTCTTGTGAAACAATTTTGCTTTGAAAAAAAATACTTTTTGAAGAAATTTTAATTTGAGCTGAAAATTGGCCCTCAGGTTGTGAAAGCATACGACAGAGTAGAGCAAGAATGGGTCGCTATTAAGATCATCAAGAACAAGAAGGCTTTCCTTAACCAAGCCCAAATAGAAGTGCGACTCCTGGAGCTGATGAACAAACATGATACCGAGATGAAATACTACATTGGTAATCAACTCTCAGAACAGTATTTCCTCTCTGACAAAACAGTTTTCTTTTGGTTTACTAACATTACAATCTGATTTGCTGCAGTTCACCTAAAGCGACACTTCATGTTTCGAAACCACCTCTGCCTCGTCTTCGAGATGCTTTCATACAACCTATACGACCTTCTCCGAAATACCAACTTCCGCGGAGTTTCTCTCAATCTCACCCGGAAGTTTGCCCAGCAGCTATGCACGGCACTACTCTTCCTGGCCACGCCTGAGCTCAGCATTATCCACTGTGACCTGAAGCCAGAGAACATTCTCCTCTGTAACCCTAAGAGGAGTGCCATCAAAATAGTGGACTTTGGCAGCTCATGCCAACTGGGACAAAGGGTGCGAAGCTGCTAGCCGTCTAATAAATGAGTGCTGTATGGACGTGGCCGAGAGAAAAGGTCTCATCTGTTTTCTTCCACCTTTTATGCGCAGATATACCAGTATATCCAGAGTCGCTTCTACCGTTCCCCAGAGGTGCTTCTGGGAATGCCCTATGACCTGGCAATCGATATGTGGTCCTTGGGGTGTATCTTGGTAGAAATGCATACTGGAGAACCTCTCTTTAGCGGAGCAAATGAGGTAAACTATTATATAGATTATCCTGATATGTGCTGGTCTAAGATGTATTCCTTTAAACAGGATTAGGAAATCTTATTAATATTTCTTTCCTGCCAGGTTGACCAGATGAACAAAATAGTTGAGGTTCTTGGCATCCCACCTAATCACATAATGGACCTAGCCCCAAAAGCCAGGAAGTTCTTTGAGAAGCTTTCGGATGGGACATGGAGTGTTAAGAAGACCAAAGATGGCAAAAGGGTAAGGCCAGTTTTCTTCTAATGCTGAAACGCTGATAATTCATTTTCGAAACTAAAGATGGGTTTTGATATTTGGAATTGATTTTATCTTATTTTAGTTTTTTAAATTTCTGTCTTTCTTTTTTTTAACAGTATAAGCCTCCAGCTTCACGGAAGCTCCACTCCATCCTCGGTGTGGAAACAGGGGGTCCAGGTGGCCGGCGGGCGGGAGAGTCTGGCCATGCCGTTGCTGACTACTTGAAATTCAAGGACCTGATCCTACGAATGTTGGATTATGACCCCAAGAGTCGTATCCAACCCTACTATGCCCTGCAGCACAGCTTCTTTAAGAAGACTGCGGATGAGGGGACCAATACAAGCAGCAGTGTGTCAACAAGTCCCGCGTTAGAGCAGTCCCAGTCTTCAGGAACCACCTCCAGCACCTCCTCTAGTTCAGGTAGTGGTCAGCGGAAGTTTTTTTTTGTGCCTTATACAGCTTTCTGATTTTTCTTTAAGTTTGACCTCTTCTTTAATTTCAAATTAGAAGTGGTACCTTAAAATAAACAAGATTATCGAAATATTTTTTTCCCCCCCAATTGAATCAGTGTTCCTTAAAAATCAGAACCACTTCTTTATCAGGCTTGTATGTTTTAGGGTTTAACATGTTGATCCAGTAGCTAATGTTAAGTATTTTTTGCTTACATAAGTATAACAATGTAGCCCAAGAAAGCTTAACCTGATGGAAGTTGATGAATATGTCCTTGTGACACGTTTTTCTACCACCTAGGAGGATCATCTGGAACTAGTACCAGTGGCAGAGCAAGGTCAGACCCTACCCATCACCACTTGCACAGTGGAGGACACTTTGGCACGACCATGCCTGCCATGGATGGTGACAGCCTCTGTCCACAGGTCAGTAAGTCACTTGGAATGATATTTCATTTTAACCTGCTACATAATATTTCTTGAAAAAACAAAGGAAGGAATTATGTTCTATTGATGTTGAACGTTCGACCAATATACCACTTTAAAGTTAGTTTCTCCGATGTTGCTATCTTGGAATTATGAGCTTTGGTTTAATGAGTCATCCTATATTCCTAATGTAAACTTAACTTGGTATGTATTAAAGAAATGAGCACAAATAAGATTCTCCACCCTAACACAATAAATAATGTCTTATTTTGGATGAATAAAATTAAATAAAAAAACAACGAGGTGTAGAAATAGAGGTATATTTTTAGATGGAATATGGCATGACATCACACACCATGTCTCATTTGTGGTTCTATGGTTTCTAACATGTTCGTCCATCTAAACAGCTGCCAGTCAAGGCTTAGCCCCTTAACATGGCAGCAACATGGTTGAGGGCCCCTTGGGTTGAAACCAGAGCTACTGTCATTGTGGTGTAATTGCGTTACTAACTAAGCAGTCTGCTAGTACCTTTGACTGAGAACATGCACAATTTGATGCTAATGGTGAAACACTTCAGTAATGCCATAATTACTCTGTTATTCTAACAATAAAAAAATTCCAACTAAGAAGTTCTCCAGTTCGCAGCATTATAAAGTTAAACGTTGCTTACTCACTAGATGTGTCTTCCAAGAGGCGATACTGTATTTATCCTGGGCTGATATCAACATCCTATATTTATTTCCTTAAGGTGGCTTGAGTTTTTTCAGGCGGGGAGGGGATGGGGTTGCATTTTTTTTTTCTTCATTGTGTGACCGTGATTTTAATGCATCTCTGGTTTGTGGATGTTACACTGAAGTAGAGAAGTAATGTCAGCACTATGATCGTTTTTTCATGGTGTTCAAAGACTAGGGAAATTATATCAGTAAATGTTGGTTACTGGCCATAACTGCAGAATTAATGTCAGATATTGATATTAACCCAAGTTTTCATTTTGGTGTATCCCTAGACTTTGTTAAATTAAAACATGCATCTTGGGCTTCAATTAAAATCTGCTGGAAAATCGGGAGCTTCAGAGTGGATTTTTTTTGTTTGTTTGTCTTATAATGCAGATTTAAAACCATAGAAGGCCCACAAGAGCTCACTGTCTTTTATGTGTTTTTCTGTTGGCCCTCTTTGTTTGTTGATTTCAATACTGGATCAGTGCTAGTATTAGCCTGACCTGCTAGTAGCACTCCTGTCTCTATTCCGCCAAATGGTGTGAATCCAACAATCATGGCTGCTGCTAACTCTACTTCCACATGAAAATGCATACACACAAGTCAAATCGTAGTGTGATCCTCAGTGAGCAAAAAAATAGGTCTGAATGAGCTCTTTGTATAGTATTTTCGCTCCTAAAACTGATATAACATGAATTTAAAGATAATTTCAGAAGGATTGTATAAGTAAAGCCCAGAAGAGCTTACGCTCTATGTGTAGAGAGTACCTAGTTATGATTCTACAGAAAAATATACATTTGCTTGTTAGGAGACTAAATTTGTTTAAGTTATGTATACCTAATAGGATAACTTTTTTTTCTCCCAAAAGTCTTATATATATTGTAAAATGAATTTGTTTCCCAGTTAACAGGTAGTTCTAATGTTTGCCATGTAAAAACAGAACAAAGAAAACAGGCATTACATGGTTGTTGCAAATCTTGCCATGTAGTTTCATACATCATAACTTTTTGTAGTTTTAGAATATTTTTTGACACTCAAATGTTTTTATATATATATAAGTGTTGCTGGATCCACAGAAGGTTATTTGCAAAACAAACCCCTGCTTCATTAACACTAATGCAAAGATCAAAACATTACTTTATAAAACAATACAAAGAATGTTCTACGTGACTTCCCATCTGACCAGTGGTTGATCTGATTTATACCCATGTCGTTTAAACAATCCTAGGCTTATAAATTCATTTTTTCCCTTGTAGTTAAGTGTTCTATTGTATTATAGAAATAAATGATCCTTAGGTCCTTAGACAATACTTAAAAACACAAATGAGTGGCAAATCGTTGGCTTGAAACAGCATTACAGTCTATTCCCATCGCTTTAGTTTCCTATTCCAGTTTGGACCAGTTGATTCTAATGTTTGACATATAAGGATCCCAGATAGAATCAAAAATAATCTTTAACAATTTTTAGTGTTGGTAGACACGACTTTTTTGAGAAATAAACGTAAATTTCCTTCTGCACGCTATGAAAATGGTATAGAAAAAATGTAATTACAGGATGTCAAAGCAGGTGCAGCTAATTATGTGGTTGAATCCTATAAAGTCATAAAAGTTGGTTCACCTGTTCAGTTCTGACTCCTGTCTTTTACTTGGCATTCACAGGCAAGACAGCCTTACCCACCTCCACTGGTGTGGGGAGGCGGCGTTGGACCGGAGTCGGTCACTGGAGAAACCCACCCAGTTCAGGAGACCACCTTCCACGTTCCCCCTCAACACCCCAAGGCCCTGCATCCCCACTCCCATTTTCATCATCACCATGGGCAGATGATGGCGACGCGTCCGCGCCCACGCCACTACACCTCCCCGACACATAGCTCTTCAACGCAGGACTCCATGGAGGTGGTTCATGGCCATCTGTCCATGACCTCCCTGTCTTCCTCTGCCTCCTCTTCCTCAACATCATCCTCTTCCACTGGGAACCATGGGAACCAGGCCTACCAGCTCCGCCACTTGCCCGCCGGAGCCCTGGACTTTGGTCAGAACGGTGGGCTGAGCATGGGGCTAGGTGCCTTCTCGAACCCACGACAGGAGACTGGCATGGCAGCGCACCCTGCATTCTCCATGGGCACGAACACAGGGCCTGGCCATTACCTAGCGGAAGGCCACCTCGGCATGAGGCAGGGCATGGACCGGGAGGAGTCTCCAATGACTGGAGTATGTGTGCAGCAGAGTTCTATGGCCAGCTCGTGACTGCACTGACATTTGGCTGTGTGTTCCCCCTGTGCGTCATTTTTAAGGTGGTGTTTTTTACTACAAGGTGTGTTGAGAACAAAAGCTGCTCACGTCAGAAGGGAGATATCACTGAACCGCTACAACAGAGAAAAAACCTTTGTTAAAAGTATATATGTAATTTTTATCAGTTTTTTCTTTTGCAATCATTAGGCACAAAATAATACTGCGGAATAACCATAGTGAGATTGAGACATCCATCTTACCATTTCACCAATTTCATGTAACCACAAAGTAATCACCATATGGTATTATGTGGCAAAATCTTCTAAATGAGCATTTCAGGAGCAAAGATGGAGGCTGTTTCGCAGCTAGCTGTTGGTGAGGAAATGCTTGGCGTCTTTAGGTTCAAACTGTGGAGCGCCTGACATTACTGTTCCACCGTCAGTAATTATTTTTGCCCTTTTTTTTTTTTATTTCTTTTTTTTTTTTTGCTACTCAAAATGAAATTCACATAAAAGCTGCTTGTAAATCCTGTAGCTTGACAACGAGGGGAATTTTTTTTGCGGTGATATTTCTTGTTGGTCGGTTTTGTGTGACTCTGTTAAAGGGGAGCACATAGCGGTGGAGTCCCTACGCATGTGCTGGCCTGGTGACAAGGAAGATTCCCCGCGGGGTGGAACTGACACCAGCCGGGGTTAAAGGAGGAGGGAGGCACCACCTCCTCATGCCCAGCGGCCCTGTTGCCCCGCAGGATGCAACTGGGGGCCCAGCACAGGCGAGAGCAGCGATGGGCACGGGAGACGGAAGGATCCGGCCCGGTGAAAGGAAGACAGTCAGTGGCTGGTTCTAGATAACCCTTTGGCCTTATGACTCATGGACTTGGAATGAAAATGGAGCTGGACATTATCATTTGAATTAAGATGGCTTTCTCTATTTTTTATTTTTTTTCCTCTCTAGACAGCCCTTAATTCTGTAAGGAAATTAAACCAACTTAGAAAAGGTAAATAAGAATGGTAATCTGAGGCCTTTCTCAAAGATTTCGTCTTCAGCAGGGGCCCCACATAACAGGGTCTTATTGTACACAACAACCTCCTAAACATTACTTCCTTAAAATTCACTGGTTAAGGATTTTGCAGTGGAAAGAACTTTCTATTCCAGAGTCTACCTTTTTTTTTTGTTTTCTTTTGTTTTTTTTTTTTTATGCCCCACCCTCTTTTTTGCATGTAGTCCCTCATCAGAAACCACCTGCACAAGTCTCTCCATCCAAAACATGGAAACTGAAGAAAAAAATGATTTAAGTGACTGCCTTTTTTTCTCCTCAAATTATGCTGTGAATTTTACAAGGATTTATTTTCCCTTTGGATATGTTTTTATACCAAAGCAGTTGTTTTATAGCATATAGGTGTCTGTAACCAATAATGTAGCAGTTCACCACTTTGACGCAAAAGTTTATTGAGATCTTATTTTAACGTCAACACAAACAGCTGCAATATATTACTTTTAGCAAAACTGGAGACCATCGTTGAGACCGTTGGCTATTGTGTATTCTGGCCAGATTTGTTTGCAACCTTTACCAAAACTTGTTTTTTCCATAATAATTGGTAGATTATTTTGGGAGTCTTTTAAAAACTTTGGTATGTTAGAGAACTTGGTAGTTACTCTGCAGGCTACAGAGTAGCAAGATAGAAGCTGATGGTTTAAAAAGAAAAAAAAGGAGACTAATGCGTTCTATTTCTGTGTTGTTGTTTTTTTTTCTTTTACCCCTTCCCCGTCATCATACTATTTCAAAGGGTGTTGCTGCCTTTCATACATCATTTGGTCAACTTAGCTAGTTTCTGCCGTATAGCAAGACTTTGTCATTGTCTTGCCAGGGTAAGGGTATTTGTGGTAAACCAGTTTGTGTTGAATGGTATAGTTCTGATTTGGTTGGACAAATCCCCATGATTGTCCTTTTCAAAGGGGGGAAAAAAAGGTGTCTTGTCAGCCCAACCATAACAGTGCTTTTCTAAGCAGACATGCATGTCCTCAACATTAATCAATGACCAGAAATATTTTTTTTTTTTATATCAGGGATTTTAAAGTGCTTTCTTTGTTCTGTTGTTGATTTTTACCACTTTTATGAAATTTGAAAAATAAAAACTAACATAAAAAAAAACTGCCCACTGTCACCTTGCCAATTAAGGGCAGGTCACAGGTCATGCTGTTGTCATTTTCTAAGAGAAACCATCCTTTTAGAAGTCATGCTTGGTATTTCCACGAACACAAATGTAAAGCTACCTATATTGAAGATTGGGGTTTGATCTGGATGTCAAGGTTAATTGCAGATTTGCAATCATTTTTTTCATACCCCACTGAATTTGAGACATTTAGATCTTTGTCAGTGGTTTTTATTACTGGCATTCATACTGGTACTAAACATTCCAAAAATAAAGACTGAAAAAGAAAAAAATTGACTGCAGTGACTCGTAAGTGTGCGCCTATTTCAGATCATGCTGATTGACCTCTTATTTAGAGCAGTTGTCATGAAATGCAGCCCCTTTTTAATAGTTGAAATAGAATTTATGTATATATTTATATTTTTTTAATAAAGGAAGTATAGAACTCACTACCTTGCTCCTGCTGGTATGTTGATTATGTTTGTCAATTTGGTGACCATTCAGTGGGCAGGAACTCCTGTTTTCTTAGTGGCAAAACCTTGCCTTTTGGCAAAGGTACTTGACTACATCAGGACAACACTATGAGGTAGGGTTTGAATCAAACAGGGAAAGCTAGATCTTCAAACCTTAATAATTTTCACAGGGTATATTGTAAGTGCATGTACATCACAAACCTTACTTTTTGGTTATATGAGAAGCACATGGTTGAAAAAAATGGTTCCATCGTTCAAAAGCCTGTTGAGTTTGTGAATTACACACAAACAGATAATTGTTGACATATCTAAACACCCAACCGAAGTTGAAATCCTTTTTTTTTTCTTTAACTTGGATTTAGCATTATTTTCCCCATCTTATTTTTATTTTATTTCACTCTTTTTCACTTTTTTGTACATGCAACATGCACTATAGAATCGAACAGCATGGGGGAAAGGATAAGTCCATGTATCCACAGATTGTAAGATCTAGTCAAGACTTTGCTGTGTTTATGACAATGCCCTTTGTATTATATTAAGACAGTCTTATGTATGATATATAAAAGAAGTTAATTGAATTACTTTGTGTCATCATTGTTTTTCTTTCTATTTTTACACCACTGCTGCAGTGAATAATCTTCCATCCGTGCACACGACAAACAACACCCAACATTAATACATAACAGTGCTGTCTCGTATCGGTATATATAGTTGATTTTCTATTGAGATGGCGTAGTGTAACTCCTCGTGGCTCGTTGGTCTAGGGGTATGATTCTCGCTTCGGGTGCGAGAGGTCCCGGGTTCAAATCCCGGACGAGCCCTGTTTTCTTCTGGCGATTCTTCAATATGTGGAAGTAATATTTATCTTTAAAGCAAAAACTGTAGATAACTTCTGCAAATAGCAGCGTATTTAAAATTTTGTCATTTAAAATATATTGTTCCCTTTTTATTTAGTTCATGACACAGCAGCAGTAGGAGCCCATACAAAGGAAACTTTGTAAGTAAGTTTTAAAGAAGCGGAGGAAGATCGGACAGCAAAAGAGGGCTCGTCCGGGATTTGAACCCGGGACCTCTCGCACCCTAAGCGAGAATCATACCCCTAGACCAACGAGCCGGTGCACAACGGGAACTGAGGTGTGATATTGAATCGACAACTAAGTATGACATCTGGGAAAACCGGGGACTGGATCATATGGTGTAGAAAATGTTATAGAACTTCTTACGCGTGATGCGTCCACCACACACAACTCGACGTTAAAAACAGACATTACGAGTTGCTCCACTGCGTAAAAGAACACACAGCATATAAACGTTAGGATCTGTGGTCAGACTTTAACTTTAAGACAAGCAAAAGTGCTTTCTTTGCACTTTGTTTTTTGTTGTTTTCACCGTCTTTATTTTATATTTAAACAATAAATATATCTTATGGTAGTATGTTATCACCTCAATAAATTTAAATGAAGGTTTACTATGTTTTAAAACCATAATCGATTTAATGATGGTTTACAAGGAAGGTTTTTTGAATAACATGGAACTCACGACATTGCAGTCGCACAAACGTAGGTGTTTGATCTCTGCTACTATCAGTGGCCGTTTGATGGCAGCAGAGTGTCATGAGACGTGAAGGTTACCTACGTCAGAAAGACCGAAGAAGAAATATTTAGTCGATATTTCATTGGTTTGTCTGATAATTTGATTGACCAATAGCTGGGCGGGGGATTTTACATGCTCCAATTACGTTCATCGTGGGCGGGCCATAGTGTTGCATACTGAGATAGCAAATTACAAATATAACCGTCGTATTTTAGCGCTATTACGGAGATGTTAATGCGCCCTGTATTTGTTGTTTATATGTGGTTTATGAGATAAGATCAATGTCCCTCTTTGATAGAAGATCCACTCTGTAAACCTGCCTTTTTAAAGAACTATTACGGTATAAAACGACTTTAGTCAGCGAGGTTAGCTAAGCTAACGGCACAGACTTAAGCATGCCAAATTTTTGCGCGGCTCCAAACTGTACACGGAAGAGTACTCAGTCAGATTTGGCTTTTTTTAGGTTTCCACGGGACCCTGAGAGGTAAGGTAGCATAAAATACCCAACTTACAATAACGATAATAAAGTCTTTTAAAAAAAGCACACATTAAAATGTACAAGAGCTCTTTGTTAATGTTGGGTTTATGTTCATGTTTAAATACAAACTGGCTTTTTTTGCAGTTAATAGCTTGTAAAAAAATGTAAAAGTTAGGAAATTATGACAGTTTTACACTATTATACTTTCCTCTCCAACTACTTCCGTCAGCTTTGGAGTATCTTTGAAGTAGAATTAGACAGACTTTATTGTTATTTTGTATACACAGAGTGTATTGTCCAACGAAATCTGGTTGCATACAGCTTACAACTGTGAATGAGCAGTTTACAATAGTGAAATGAACATTACTTATTTTAAAGTAAAGCAGCGATTAGTAATAAACACAGATTAAAAGAAAAGGAAAAGACTTTCATAGGGAAAAGAAAAGTTTAGTGCAAAATAAATAGTGCAGAATGCAGTAGAATATTGAGTTGTGTTCTATTTAAAGGAATATATGTTTTTTTTTAAGTGACAGTTGTCTGTTTTTTTGGATATTCATCTTAAAGTCACATTTATAGTACAATTCTTAGTAGTTTAAAGAGGATGCTTGTGTAGCTGAATAGAACAAAATATTAAAGAAATGTAAAAAAAGAATTGGTTCCCAGTATTTGTATTTATTTAATACATTGTGCTGTTTAAAAAGTGACAACCGAGAAGAATCTTTAAAGTGCAGAATACCACAAAGCATAAGATGTGTGGACTTAAACGTTAAAAAAATATTTTTAACAAGAAACATTCATAATAAAATGGCCTAATATTTTTTTAAACAAGAAAAGAGATTGTAGAAAACACATTCAACTCCTCTAAAAGTATAGATTTATTTTTAAGAGCCTCAGTCTTTTGGGAACTTATCTTAAGTGTCTGTGTGTCCAGCAGATGGTCATCCCTTTAGCTATGGGCGAATCACTGAAATCCACTTTCACGTCACAGTCCACACGTCCGTAGG